CTCCTACATGTCTCTGCGTGAGTGCAGCTACAGCGTGCGCTCTCAGGACATTATTACCTGCAGTGTTCCCTCAATGAGAACTGAACTATGCCTTCTCCTACTCCGCTCCTGTTTCCTGGAATATCTTGCAAAAAGATCTGAAGCTCTCGACCTTGACCTCTCTAAGAGGCTTTAAACATCTGTTAAGTTCCTGGAAACAACCAATGTAGACATGTTCCTGTTTTTAGTTTTCTACACCGCCTTATAATCTAGTTGTTTTTTTTTCTTTTCGCTACTTTTCCTTTTGACTGTCCTTTTGGTTTTTATTTTGTTTTGATTTGTTGAAAAAAAAATTTTTTTTTGTTTGTTTGCCTATTTTGTGACTGTCTATTGCCGTCATTGTTATTCACTGTTGTCATCACCCTTTGTTGGGAAATCAGGTCTCTCTTGTAAATGAATCCCTGAGGCTCAATGGGATTAACCTGTATAAATAAAGGTTGAATGAATGAATAAGAGTTTATTGCTGGTGATACTGTCATCGCAAGTTTTATTTTATCTTTTTTAACTCGGTGAAAAACTGGAACAAAAAATAAAAACCTTTTGGATGAGAAGTGAAAAATCTTCTGGAAAGGAAGTCCAGTTTCCTTCCATTAAACTTTTGGGATTAACAGAAAAAAGTAACTTAAGATTGTAAAACACGACTGACTTGACTGAGTTTACGGTTCTTTCCTCTGTGTGGCACTTGGGAACCGGGTGGCCCTTAGCGTGGGCATCCTTCAGTATTTCTATGTACTTCATGCACTCCTCGACCAGCTTCTCAAACCTGAAGAGACAGAAACTTCCATAAAAATCCAACATAGTGAGCTAGTTTAACTTCTGACATGCCACAAGTCAGCTCTATGCACAGTCACACTGCTGTGTCAGAATAAATGTTATAACATGTACAAGAGTATACAGGTTAAAAAGATATTCAGTGAAAAACGCTTGTATTATATGCAGCGTGACATGAAAATTACACTATAGAGAAAAACCTGACACATTTCACACAAACAGAAGTGTAGCAATTAGAAATATCTAAAGACACTATGCTAATTTTATCTTTTGAGACTTTTAGTATTTCTGTTGACTTAAACTGTACAAGTTGAAATAGCTGTAAATAATGACACCAGAAAACTTTAAAACAATTTAACTGATCCGAAGATGATGTTTTAATTTGGATTATTTCAAGTTGAGAAAAATACATTGCAACTTGTCGTCCTTGCATTTAACAAAAAATTTAAAAAGACGGTTTTCGATTTGTCAGGGAACAACAAGAAGCCCAAAACAAGCCGAACCGTCTCCCGAGAACTATCTTCTCTCTGCCCATGAACCAGATGTTTGGGTAAATGGAGAGTGCTGTGGAAGAAGGCTGCAGCTGGCCTCAAGACACCTCCTGAACTCTGTAAACTCTGAGCTGATAGGAGTATAAAAGCGAGCAGACAACGTGGCTCGTGGGTTTTTTTCTGTGACTAGTTTTCATGCATATACATCAATGTACGTAATATATGTATATTTACGTAAACTGTCATGAAAATCTGACCTTGGAAGTATAAATAACGGTCAAAAATCTTCTCCTGCCGTTTTTGGGTAAACATGAGTGAAATTTTGAAATTTTCTCCAGTAAGACTTCACTGTGAATGTACATTAAATAAATGTACATTAAATAAATGGCAATATATTATACAAATAAACATTAAAAAATAAATATTTCTTACTTCAAAGCCTCGGCTATGTTGCCCATGAGCGTGAACTGCTGCGAGAGGCTCAAACATTTCTGTTGACCGAGACACAAAACAGAAGATGCTCACGATATGAGAACACGTGTTCGGTTTGAAAGTTTTAAAAACAAATACTAGTCGAGACTCGTCTCGGCACAACCTGATTACATTAGGATCACGATGTAATACGACACATGAGAAGAATCATAAAGTGGGTCTTCACTGAAAAAAACAAACAACAAAACACGATAAAGTTGTGGTAAAAGTGAAGTTTTAACCTCGTGTTGCTTTCGTAAAAGATCCATAAGAGCGTGGAATTTTTCACTGGAGCGAGGAGAGACCGAAGAGGTCCGGGAACGAGTCAGGGAATAATCCTCCTCACTTACTGGAGCGTTCGGAATCTGAAGGAAACCAGAGAACTGTAGTGAGCAGCTGTTTGCAGAAGTACAAGACAAATAATTTAACATTTCTTAAATAGCTACCAATACACAAAAAATAATAATCAATTGCCGTCACAGAAAGACAAAGACAAAAAACATTTTTGCTTGTCTGTTATCAAAACATCTTCAGAAACACATTTCAGTAAAACTTGCAGAAAGTAATCATCGGACGCACCGCTACAGCCGAATACTTTTCATTGTTGACCTGATTTAAAATGGCTGCCACAGCCAACTGACATTAGAAAACATAAATGGTGATAACTCAGTCAGCTTTACAAATACCGACTTAAAACTTAGTGTGGTAGTAGGTGATACTGATCCCAGAAACATACTCTGAGTGCCAACAGATTGCACAAGAGCTCTGTCTGTTAGCAAAATATATTGTGAATCACTTGACAGATGTAAATGAAATTTTCAGGAGTTAATCTCTGGACGTACCTGAACAACTTATTGGCTTTTGTAGCCAATCCAATTCAAGATAGTTTAGTCAACACAAAAATGGCTATACTTCATAGTTTTACAAGTACTGAACAACAAATTGATGTGGTAGTAGCAGAGAGTCGTCCACAACGCGTCATTTTCCAATATCACTTGTTTGAAAGGTTTGGAAAAAAAACATCTACAACTCTTTCATTTCTCAACATAAGATGATTTTATCCTTAAACTGGCTAAAATGGTGGTGGGCAATATGCATTTCTTCAAGGAATGTTAGGTATTCAATTAATAAAAATATAATTTCTTAATCACAACAACATTCTGAGAAACTTCCATAAATCTTGCACCAAAATATAATCAACTTTTTTTAGCTGCATGTAAGAAATAATTCTAAACGAACATCAAAAAAGGTTCAGAAAATAAACAAATGGGAAAAAACAACATGGGGGGTTGAGAGAGAGAATACTGGTTTCATGACAGCGGTGAGAAAACGGAGCTGAACGACGGATGAAGACAGAAAACCTGCAGCGTTTTAAATGTCATATTTCATGGAAATTGGAGCACTGCTTTTCTCGAATAAAAAGATATTTTTTTTAAATGAATATCTGCTTGTGCAATTTCCTGCTGAGAAAGAATAAGTCAATCTAACAGAGGCGCAAGCATAATATTCCTGGTAATTACACAGTGGGACTGAGTCAGAGAAACAAATGAGTTTTATGAAGCCAAAATAAACAAAGGGAAGCCGGAATGAACAAAAATATTCTTGCAGGACAACAGGCACCACTATGAAATATTAAAAATGGAGGAAAAATATGCAGAAAGATTTTTGTAAGGATACAAATCAACAGAGTTTTATTTAATTTCATTTTCTTTTTAAGCTATATTTTGCGTTATGATGGCTGTGACACACACACACACACAATATACACACAAAACTTCTTTGTGAGCTAATTTTCTAATAATGTAAATGCATAACCTTGGTGATGTCAACAGGTAGGCCAGACTTGGCCGCGGTGACCATTGGGTCCAGTCCTTTTGCGTGTCTGAGGTGCTGCGCTGCTCCCGTCATGTCCTGAAAACAGATGCATCCATAAACAGATCCCAGCTCAGCATACAAACCAACAGGCATCAACTATTTATAGCCACAAAAATAAAAAAAACACAGAACACATTTAAAGTTCAGAACTTACCTTCATCTGTTTGGATCGCAGTGCTGCTCGCAGGAAGGCTTGTCGCCGTAGCAACAAGAAATCTACTTGCTGCTGAGCTGAAAAGGTAATTAGGAGAAACGGAGGTGAAACCATGTTTTGTGTAATGAAAACAACTTGTGTGACACATCCGATGCGTGTAGGCAGGCGCTGCACACGAGCGCAGCTCTGAACGAACCTTTGGGTCCCAGTTTTGGAGCTGAGGGTCCTCCAGGGGCCTGAGAGGCGGGAGACTTTGCTTTTTGGACTGGTGGACGCACTGCAGGCTGCAGAAGTTAGAATCAACAGGCAAAAATAAATAAACATATCTATATGTAAGTTACATAAATAGACAAAGTTTTTCCAAGTATTTGATGTGTGTTTTTATAGCTATCCACAATTACACACTAGCTGAAAAGTGATGCAGGAAGTGCAGAACAGAAATTAGTACTAAATAAAACTGCCTGTCCAAAAAGCTGCGGGACATGAAATGACACTTAATAAAGCCAATTTTTCCTGTTTATTCTACAGACAAATAAGATTCCTGGCTGCACTATAACAATTTGACCATTTGGATTATTTAGTTATTTAGTTACACAGTTATTTTAGTGAACGTGCCAGGACCTGGTTTTAATCTGGCTGCAGAAAAAATAGCCGACAGTTTTAACGTTTAAATTTGCCCTTTTTAAATGTTTTACTGAGTTTTTATGCGTTATGCATTGCTGATTTTATTTTTATTCATTTTTTTACTCATGTAAAGCATCTTTTGAGTATTTAGAAAAGCACTATACAAATAAAATGTATTATAAATATTATTATTATTATTATTATAACAGAGCTGGATCCCAGCGGAGAACAGCCTGCGTTTTTATTGGGAGATTTTAACAGATGTGACAAAAACAAATATCTGCCCAGTTTGGAACAATAGGTCAATATTTCAACTAGGGCAAAATATACTGAACATACGCAGTAAAATCATGTCCACCTCTTGGTCGTTCTGACCATAACGTTATATTACTGCTGCCAAAACATCGGTCCAAACTTAAAATGGAGCACCAGCTCTCAAAATCAAAAAATAATGAAGCGTCTGAAACATTGAGAGACTGTTTTGGAGCTTGTTCTTTCATGAGTGCAGTGATGATCTTAATGTTTTAACAGATTTGATAACTTCTTATATTCTGTTTTCTGAGGACAGTGTCACTCCCACCAAACAGATGATCGATCCAAACAATAAAAAGTGGATATCTAAGGACATGGAAGCCTGCCTGGTTCTAAACAGGAAGGCTTTCTTAAAAGGAGATATGCAACAGGTGAAGGAATTTAAAAGGAGTTTAAAGCAAAGGCAAATATAGTAAACATAGAATATAAGAATAAAATAAAAATAAAGTTAACTTCTGGAAATCCAAGGGATGCATGGCGGGGTTTAAATACCATGATGGTACCAAGCCTACATCAGTAGACTGCCTGGACCCAAGCTCTTCTGCAGAACAACTGAACAATAACTTCACCAGATTCAACAACAATTCCACTCCAACCAGCCGAATCCCACAAATTACCAACACCGCCCTCAAAGACATTATTATTGATGAACGGCTCGTCTCTTCCAATCTGCATCGAGTTAACCCACACAAGGCTCCTGGTCCTGGTTGAGTGCTAAAGGAGTGCTCCACTCAGCTAACTGGGCCCCTTACTAAACTGTTCCAGAAGCTACTGGATTCTGGTTGTGTCCCTAGTCAATGGAGGGAATCCCACATTGTTCCAATCCCCAAGAAGACACAAGCCAAAGACCTAAAGGATTACAAACCAGTGGCATTGACATCAGTTTTGAGTAAATGTATGGAGAGAGTGGTGTGTGAGCTCCTGGCTGACATGGTGGCCGATCAAATGGATCCATTACAGTTTGCCTACAAACCAAGACGTGGTGTGGAGGACGCAAGTCTCACACTTTTTGGACATGGTGGCAAAACATCTAGACTCTGTCCACCCTCACACTAGGATTCCTATTCTCTTCTCTATTTACACAAACTGTTTCATGCAACAGTGAAGGAATGTCCCTCTTTAAATATGCAGGTGGCTCTGGTGGCGCAGCTGACCGGACCTGATGCTCTGTCCCTCTATGAACAGACAGTCCACGGCCTCCTCATGACGTTCTCACTCAACTCGCTGGAGCTGAACATCTCAAAGACTAAGGAACTGCGCCGAGAGGGTCGAGCCCAAACACCAGAACTTTTGTTGAAGCCACTGACCATCCACGGACAGCAGGTGGAGCAGGTGGATGCTTTAAGTACCTTGGCACAGAGACAGACACAAACATGTCTTTCTCACAGCACACAGACTCCATTTATAAGAAGGCCCAACACGTCTTTACCTGCTGAGGAAACTAAAGACCTTTCATGACAGCAGGAGCACTCTGACCTTGATGTACAAGTCCCTGATTGAGTCCATTCTAACTTTTAGTATTTCTTCCTGGTTCAACTTCATCAATGGAAAACAGAAAGCCAAATTACACAAAATAATTAATCTATCAAGTACAACTGGCTCACCTCAGTGCTCCCCATCAGACATCTACAGCCGCTCAGTGACCAAGAAAGCCACCCCGATCACCGAGGACCCCTCAAATCCACTACACCACTGCTTCCAGATGCTTCCATCAAACAGGCGTTACCGAGTCCCGCTGGCCAGGAACAATATTTATAAGAAATGTTCTTAAACAAAGCTAAATAGACACATCTTAATGGCGGTAACTAATGGTTGGCAGCACGACAGCACAGCGGTTAGCAATGTTGCCTCACAGCAAGAAGGTCCTGGGTTCAATCTCCGGTTGGACCTGGGGTCTTTCTGTGTGGTTTGCATGTTCTCTCCGTGCATGTGTGGGTTTTCTCCGGGTACTCCGTTTTCCTCCCATAGACCAAAAACATTAGTCTGCCTTCAGGCCCAGGCCTCCCTCGCAAAAGAGATCTGTGATCTCAATGGGATTTTCCTGGTTAAATAAATGTTAATAAACCAATAATGGTGATAATGTGTTTTTTATTATGTTCTATTGTATGTATGATGAATGTAGTGCGTGTTGAAGGAAAATTTCTGCCACAATTGTGGACGACAATAAAGTTTTATCTTATCGTATCTTATGAGTGTTTTTTCCCAAACCATAGCAACTCCTTTTTGTCCCTCCTCCTCTTCATCCTCTGCGTCTGCGTCCTGATTTGCAATCTTCATAGCTGTTTCCAGGACACCCATGAAGTTCTGCTGACTCCCCTCTGAGCCCTGAAGAGGTGGGCAGCCTAGAGAGGAAACACACGAGTAAACTCATCAATTCAGGCAGCTCAATCCTGAAAAATAACATTCACTACGTTACCGGGTGGCACCGGGAGATCGGACAAGCTGACAGGCCGGCCGGCATTATGAGCTTTGATGGCGTCTTGATATTGCTGTTGATAAAAAAAAAGAGAAAACTTATACAAACATTTTATTTATTAGCCTTTATTTAATCAGGTAAATACATCAAAGATCACTTTTGCAAGGGAGCCTAAACATGCATGTTTTTACAACGTACAGGAAAAAATAAATATATAAATAAACTGAATTGAAAAATGTTATCCTCCGGCAGACTCGCTCGTTTTAATATGTATTATAATACACACACACATATACATATATGCATATTATTTTATTATATATTAAATAATATATTTAATAATTACATTTTCCTTTGGACACCAAATTCCTAACACCAGAATAAAAGCTGTGAAGTTTCACAGACATTACACAATATAGTAATCCCTCATTAACAGAAGGGGATTCGTACCCTGAAGCCCGCGATAAGTGAAAAATCGCAAAGTAGGAATAGTAATACAAGTAGTAAGTAGTAGTTTATTATACATATACATATATATATATATATATATATATATATACACATTTTAAACCCTTCCCACACTCTTGCAATATTTTAAACAATGTTTCTAAACTCTAAATGCTCTAAAAGAGCACAGAATGTCATGATTTCAGCTCCCTGCCTCCTCTGCTCTTTGTCACCTGCAAGCGCTCTAGGCCACGCCCACTTCTCCACTCTGCACGACAACAGCTAATCAGTTGCAGCAGGATGTTTATCCTGCAGTATGGGCTGGACAAAGGTGCAGGAGGAAAGTTTTTCTGCAGCTCGGGGCTCCACAAATGTGCGGCAGGTGCCAATTTATTTTAAATAAAAATTCCATGCCGATCGTGCGGCTCATCCATCATTCAGCCAAATTCAATGTTCTTTTCTCTTTTTGATTATTTTTTCTTTTAAATGAATGAATAAATAAAATAAAATAAGCCAATTGTGTGTCATGTCCAATTTTATTTTGAAAAACCACGATAAAGCGAGTCCGCAATAAACAAACCGCAAAGTAGCGAGGAACTACTGTACCAATACAACTGCTGTAATAATAATAATATTGATAAAAATGCAGTCCGCTAAGGAAAGTTTTAGCTTCTGAGCAAATTTTATCAGTGACCACTGACCTATCACAATTTTCTCAACCACTGACCTTCCGGAACAGTGATATTTACATTTAATGCATTGATTCTGAGGTTTTATGAAAAGCTGCAGGGCACCGTTGGAGATCTTCAGCTGGACATCTACAGGCCACACTGTGAAGTTTTGTGCTTTTATGTAAAATAAATAGTTCTCATCAATAAAATCAAATATTTATGACAAAGTCTGCCCTGTTCCTACTTCTTTACCATCATGTGTAGAACAGACACGTTGTTCAACACCTCTTACGTACAAAAGAAACCTAGTCATCATGAAGCGCTTTTGACATGATCTGACCAAAACGTTAGAACTCACGTGCAGGAAGAAGAGGAGTCTCCGATAAGTAAAATGTTTATTACTGAATAAGCAAAACAAAATGCTGACTGGGCAGCTAAGTAAAGGAGAACACGAAGGGAGACGGATCATGAAGCCTTAGACAGGACAATCCAGAAACAAAGACATAACACCAAGGGGCTGAATATATACAAGGTGAAATGACAGGCACCTGCGGTGATTAGGATCTGACACAGGTACGACGTGCTGGAACACAGGGAGGAGAAACACTGAGGGTGACTGGTAAACATGAGGGAAACAACATACAGGACCGAACCCCAGAAACCCTACAGCTTTAAGCGAATTGTCAAGACTCACATCTGCGTCTCCCTTCCTGACAGACTGGACCCCCTACCGTTTGCATACAGAGAAAACAGGTTGACAGACGATGGCTTATCATGCTTAAGCAGTTCACACCTCCCTCACCCTCAGCCGTCTGGAGAAGTGAAGCACCTAATGCTCTTCATTGACTACAGGTGAAATCACTGACAAGCTTGTGTCAGGAAAATAACCTCTCTGACTCAGCAAAACAAAGAAGATGATAGTGGACTTCAGGAGACAGCGTGGAGGCCAGCACTCCACAATCAACATAAACAACGCTGAGGTGGAGCAGGTCAGCAGCTTCAAGTTCCTCGGCGTTCACGTTACTGAGGATCTGTCTTGGACTTTACACACTGTGGTCAAGAAAGCTCAGTAAAACTCTACTTCACAATAAGATTAAGTTAATTTGGTACGAACACCAGCACCCTCACCAACTTTTATAGGTGCAACATTGAGAACCTGCTGACAGGCTGCATCGCAGGGTGGTACAGGAACTGCACCAGTCAGAAAGCTCTACAGAGGGTGGTGCAAACAGGAGAGGACATCACTTGTAGCAGTCTCCACACCATCCAGGACGTCTACCACAGCTGAGGTCTGTGTAAAGCATGCAGCATCATTAAGGACCACACCCACCCAGCATAAGGACTCTTCCATCTACTACCCTCAGGCAGACGATTCAAGAGCCTGTCATCGCACAGGAAAAGACTCAGCTATTATCCACAAGCTGTCAGACTACTGAACTCTTTACAATAATACTGAATAACTGACAATAATATCCCATTATATTATCATTTTACACAATTAATAATAATTAATAATCATTAATTATTATAATTATTAAATTATATGAGAAGGTGCCATTTATAAGACTGACTTTATTGCGGCTCCACAGACTGAAGAAGTCTTTTGGATAAAAGACAAAATGTTTCAACAAGAAGAATCTGTCCAGAGGACCCAATTCAACCTGGTTAGATATTGACAATAACGTTGCACTAAGCCACATCTGTGATAGCGAATACGTTCAGCGCTGCTGCACTATGTGGCTGTATCATGTATGTCACTACCTTACCATCATAATTCAGTTCATCTCTGTGTTACTCACTACCTGTGCAATAACCTGTCACACAACCTGTGTAGTTTATGTTGTGTGCATTAAATATGTGCATTTAAGCCAATATACCTGTGAAATACTTCTTCATACAAATCCATCCTACTTGCACCGTTATATTCTACCATGAAGTCATTTAATATTTTTCTTTTGGACCTTATAATATTATATTTCTTTTTCACTTTTTGGTACTTTATTTTGTACTTTTATTGCATGCTTTAGTATTTTTTGTTTTGTTTTAGCGAGTCAAAATGGTTTTTCTTATCCTGAACATTTCATTGCATTGTTGACCTTGTGTTAACCTGCATATGACAAATAAACAATAACAAACATAAACAAACATGAATGTCAACATTTATACATTTGCTGTTAATTAGAACGCGAGTCGTTTTATTTGATGCACAGATGCCGAGTTGCAGTCGGACGTTTTGTTTCAAAGACTTTTGAAATTTGTTTTGGACTCGGTGATGCCTCAGTAGCTGGTTTTACAAAAAAGATAGATAATTAAATAACTATTTGCAAACTCACAAAACTAACTTACCCCACCAGTATGAACTACTTATATTTCCATTCATTCATTTTCTTTACCAGCTTTTTTCTTTCCGGGCCGTGGAGCTGGTGCCCATCTCCAGCAGTCCCTTTGCGAGAGGCGGACACCCTGGACAGGAAGTGAGTCCATCCCAGGGACACACAGAGACAACAGTCACTCACACTTAGGGACAAATTCCAGGTATCAGACTAACATGCATATTTTTGGTCTGTGGGAGGAAACTGGAGTATGTGGAGAAGACACGCGCAAGTGAACATGAAAACTCCCACAGAAAGGTGGGGAGGCAAACCTGCAGTCTCCTTGCTGTGAGGCAACAGCTCTAACCGCTGCTCCAACGTAACTTTCTTTAAAATTACCGGTAAACATAGTTAAAAGGTAAAATGGACGTTATTTACATGCAGAGATGTAAAAGATTCAAAACTTTAACATTTTGATCAAAGTAGGAGCAAATGCATAATAAAGCAAAACTAAGTTTGCATTTGGGAACCATTCATAAATGTGTAGGAGGTCTTTGCAGTCCCCACTCCACCAGTTTTATAGCAGATGCCTTCACAGTGGAGCAACATCTCTGAAAAATGCTGAATTTATGATGCTCTAGACAAATTTATTATGTTTCCCACGTTAGTCACTATGGCTTCCAGTACTCCAGAGAGAACAGTAATGCAGGTTATTTAGTAGGTCAAATGAGAAACTCCTGCAGTTCCAGGCATAAGAGGATATTTACATTCAAAACAACACAATGGAGATGGTTATACTGGTCTTTGAAATAAAAGAACAAGCTAACAAACAGCAGCACAGAATCAGGAATATAAGCTGATTGACAAAGGATGTTTGATGGCTACTTTGATTTAGTTTCACCAATATATTTTGTGAGTGAGAGTCATTTTAAAAATCTCCGTTGAAAACATTGCGTGTACCTTCATGATGCGCTGGTGCATGCGAGCTTTTCGATCATCCCCGTTGGTTTTGGCCGTCTCTGCTGCTTGCTTGTAAATGTCCAACCTTTGCTTCAAGGCTTCGGCCAAACTTGTGGGAGCAGGGAGAGCTGAAAACGACACGAAACAGAAACACTCCAACTTAATATGAACAGAAAATCAAAGAGGACATTAAGGATAGAGATAGACTGCAGGGTATCAAAAATGAAAATAAAATGAAAATAATTTTACATTTGTAAATTTGATGTAGTGCTGTACTGATGTATATACGATGTGAAGACAATGTTTGTTTAAGGTAATTATAGTAATTTATTCCCCATTTATTTATTTATTCATAGTTTGTTTTTAAAACCTAATGATTAGATTGTGCTCCTGTCATCTTTGAGCCAATCAGAATCTTTGTTCAGGTGTTTTGAATCATCAGGTGTTTGCAGTCATTCTGAATTTACTGAAGCTGAGGAAAAAAAAAAAGGGTCAAATTTTCCTCAAACAAAACCATATTCTTAAGATCATAAAAAAAGTCTCAATGATCAATCTCAGTCATTTAAACATTAGTTTCATTCATTGAACCTTTATTTAGACAGGTTAATCCCACTGAGCCTCGAGGACTCATTTACAAGAGAGACCTGATTTCAACAAAGAATGATGACAACAATGGACAACGACGACAACAATAGACAATCATAAAAGAGGCATTCAGATTTATTTTTTTTATTACAAATTAAAATAAGACGGCAAAAAATAGCAAAGCAGCTAGATTATAAGGCAAATGTAGAAAACTAAAAACGGGAACACGTCTGCATTGGTTCTTGCCAGGAGTCCAACAGATTCTTAAAGCCACATAGAGAGGTTAGTTGTTAGTAGCTTAGTTGTTGTTGTTTTAATGCTGCCCAAGACCCACTTTTGACCATTTTATGCTTAATTCTCGACCTCTCGAAGTGGCTTTAAAAATCTGTTGGACTCCTGGCAAGAACCAATGCAGACATGTAAATCTGTATGCCTTTTTATAGTTGTCTATTGTTGTTGCTGTTGTCCATTGTTGTCATCATTCTTTGTTGAAATCAGGTCTCTCTTGTAAATGAGTCCTCGAGGCTCAATGGGATTAACCTGTCTAAATAAAGGTTCAACGGAAAAAAAAAAAAAGTATCACAATGCAGCAAGTATTCATAAAGTATTGACAGGAAAACTGGAGTATCACCAGGGGAGGCCACTTGGGTGGGTGCAGGAGGAGCAGGAGCAGCTGCAGGGTTGGATGAAGCCTTTGGAGGAACGGGTGCTGAGTGTTCTTCTACCACATCTCCTGCAAATTATCAGAGAGCAGTGTAAAACGTGCTCAGAACAAAATATCTGAAGAAAAAAATATTCAACGCACTATAAATCAGGGGAATGATTGCAGGCTTATAAGCAATTAGGAGTTCTAATGTAACAAAAGTTAACAACAAAGTTCATGCTCAATAATCCAAGTATCCAACTAACAAAAGTTAGTTTTAAAATAAAGACTAACAGTGATGCATTGATGTTTTCTTTTTATTGCTACTGAACGGTAACATATTCATATAATGTGATTGGTGCATGCATCAGCAGACTCACACACGGGTAAGTCTGTTGATGAAACAACAACTTTCCACTAACAGTGAGCGGTACAGTTAGTTTGCATTGATGTGTCACAGCAAGAAGTTCTTCAGTTTGACACTTTACTGGGTTCTTTCTGAATGGAGTTTGCATGTTTCTTCTTATGGGTTTTATGAGGGTACTCTGGTTTCCTGTTTGACTCATGCTTATGACTGGAACTTGATGTGAAGGATTTAGAAACTGCTACAGATTCTTCAGTTTCATTTGTTTTTAATAACCCCTAATACAAGTTATTAAAATAAATGTTTGCTTAGCAGACGGCACAGTGGTGCTGGCAGAGCTGTTGCCTCTCAGCAAGAAGGTCACCAGGGGCCTTTCTGGGTGGAGTTTGCATGTTCTTTCCGTGCATGCGTGGGTTTTCTCCGGGTACACCAGTTTCCTCCCACAGACCAAAAACATGCATGTTAGACTGAATGGTAACTCTAAATTGTCCCTAGGTGTGAGTGTGAATGGTTGTCTCGTTTGTCTCCATGTGTCCCTGTGATGGACTGGAGACCTGTCCAGGTGTCCCCCACCTCTCAAACAGTGACTATTGGATATGGGCACCAGTGACCCCCGTGATCCACAAAGGGAGAAGCGGGTAAAGATAATTGATGAATGGTATGTTTAGCAAGAAAGTGAAAAAGTAGACCCAAAAGCAAGGATAATGTTTGTTTCACTCACCAGGAGGCGGCGGCAATGAGCTCAGTTCTACTGGTCCTCCTCGGTCCACAGCCTCCAGCAGCAAGTCGAGCTTCTGCACAGACAAGGACAATTTTTTAAATTTCATTAAACCGTTGAACTTCCTTTAGAACTGTTCACAAATAAGCTCACTTTGATATTAGTTTTGTTACCTTGGAAGTGAGGTAGTGTTGTTTAGCCAGGTTTACGTCACCATGCTGTTTGGCGTGAATGGCAGCCATCTTATACTCCCTCTGTCTGCACATCACTGCCTGTTTCAGCTCTGGGTGATACGATGCCATGCAGACATTTTTATTTTACAAAGTGAGAACAAAATGGAAACAGAAACTGGTGGGAAGAAGGTATAAAAGCTTTAAAAAAACCACTACAGCAACATTTATCAGATGTTTGATTGTAAAAGTGTGTTTAAACATTTTATGATTAATCTGTTCCGGACAAAACCCCGTTTGTTGAATGTCTTCATCCTTTTGAAAGAAATCATTCATTTTATGTTTAACAAAAAAAAAAGAAAGAAGTTTTTAAAACATTTTCCCCCAAAACAACTACCGCACTTTTCTCTAGAGGGTTATGATAAAGGCTTTTTGACTAATTTGTATGAATTCACGTTTTCCCATTAAACGATAACATGATGACTAAGTTACATTTTAATAATTTGTTTCATTGTTTTAGGTCTTAAAAAGAAAATAAATCCATACTGGTTATAAGAAGTTGTCCAAATTATTAATTTTATTTGTGTATAGATATTGGCCCAATTTTTTTAAATCAGTTCATCTACTTTGAACAGAAGCAGGTAAAAAAGTAATTTATAAACTCACAACTATTTGTTTGAAGGTTTTTTTTTTAGCTAATTCAATAATTTGTATAGAAAACGTTTACAAACACATGATCATTGCCAAGTTAGAAAACCAAACTATTGACTGATCCAAACTAAAAATCATGCAATAGATTTTCTTTATTAAAAAGCTTAACCAAAAATAACTAAAAGGAGACAATCAGAAAGAAAAAAAAAACAATCAATCAACTTCTTTAGACCAGATATGATTATTGTTTTAGTGAGTAACCCACTATCATCATGTCTGCCCTTATAAACAGTCGAGATAAAAAAAGAAGGAAGCAAACAGAAGCAGTTACCGGAGTGCTGAGTGTCAGGCTGAACAGGGGTGAGGGGAGAGATTGCCGGCGTTTCTGGGGTGACGGCAGCGACGGGCTTTATGGGAGGGGACAGATAGGTCGGTTTAGTGTTTGGAGCAAAAGGTGCAGCCTCCCTCAGGGGTTTCTGAGTTGAAGGAGGAGGCTTCAGGGCAGGCTCAGGTGGTTCTCGTTCCTTCACAGGTCCAGTCACAGCATCTGAAGTTGCTCCTATAGCAACGGGGGGAGGAATCTCCTCTTCGCTGACTGGTTTCCCTTTCTTGGCAGACGTTAACATGGACTGTAATGTCTACGGTACAAGAAAATAAATGTAAAAACCATGAGCACTTGATATGTCCTGTAAATGAAGGAAAGTACTAAAGGTTGCAAATTAGTTTTTCCTTTCACGTTATCCGTTCACCTTTAACCCTCGGTCGTATCTCCGAACTTTGCTAATTTCGCCTGCAGCCTTGGCATTAGAGATGGCTTTCTGATACATTTCAATACGCTCCAACAGTCGGGATTCCAACCCGGACGCACCGCTGGGAGCCCCGGGAGTAGCTGGACGGCTTGTGATGTTCATTTTAGGAGCAATCGGCGTGACAGCGGGGGGTGTTGGACCTGGAGCGTCCTCCTCATCGTCCTCCAAAACTTCATTTAATTCTGCCTGTTTACAGAGCAGGAAAAATGTACTGCACAGTTCAAGGACAATTGTTGAGAAATTTGAGGAATTTATTCAACTGAGCTAAATAACAGCCATAACAATATTTGTAAGCTCCATGAATCCGTTGAGGTCGTTATCACAATATCTAATAGCCCAAATGGAGATAAAGGTAGATTTCTACATCTAAAATGTGTCAAATATCTAAAAACATTTTGTTAGTTCAAATAATTTTAACACCATAAAATGTTGTAACTTTCAAACTATTGAAATTAAGAAGCAAACATGGCATATATTCGAAGGAAAATCTCAAGTTCACTTTTTAACGTTAAACAACTAAAACTAATCAATATCTCATATTTGATGTAAAAAAAAAAAACTAGTTAAAAGTGTTTACCAGCAGATCTTCATCATCCTCCAAGTTTTCATCACCCATGTCATCATCATCTAGATCTTTCATACAAAGAGCTGCCATTCTCTCAATTTCAGCCATAGGAACAGGAGCTGAACAGAAATAAATGCATCACAAGATCATAAAAACTGTTTTGCAGCATGTAAGTAAGTAAACTGTATTTATATAGTACCTTTTACAGGTCAGAAACCACAAAGTGATTTACAGAATACAAGACATAAAAACACAAAGATAAAAGATGAAACAACATGCATATGAGATGACAAAATAAAACTAATTAAAAGCCAATCTGAACAAATGTGTATTCAGCTGCTTTTTAAAAGTATTAAGAGAATCAAGGCAATGCAAAGTCAAAGGCAACACATTCCACAGTCTGGAGGACACAGCCCTAAATGCTTTATCCCCCTCTGGTCTTAAAATGAGTTCATGGGACCATTAACAGTCTTTGACTGGAAGATCTGAGGCTCTGAGAAGAGGAGTAGGGCTCTAAAAGGTCAGAGATATAGATGTGACACATGTAGAAGAAACAAAGATAAAAAATAAAAAAAACATTGTCCTCACCTTTACCTTCACCTTTCTTCCCCTGCGGTTTCCCTCCTTTTCCACCTCCCCCCACCAGACTGAGGAGCTCTGCCTCCAGCTCGTCATCATGTCTACCATCATCCATCCCTCCATCCGGGGAAAGATCAAGAAGCAGCCCCATCTGCGACACAGAAGACTGTTATTAGGAAGTGACTTGATAAAGAAAGTCATATTCTAATATTTTTGTATGTAATCTAATTTTTGTATCCATCTTTTGCATTTGATATATATTTTTTCCTTTAAGCTATGGTGGCCATCTAAGATTTTTGATTTGGATTCAGTATGTGTTGGGGGTCGTTTTTAGCTACCACCACACCAAATTTCAGCTCCATGTGTCTTAAAAAAGCTGAGTTATAACCATTTGACATTAGTTTTGGCAGACTTCTTGTTTCAATTTGCATTTAAAGTTTGCTAAAGTTTGTTCTAGGCTACTACTATACAATTTTCAGCTTTGTAAAATGACTGAATTATAGCGCTATATGAAATTAACTTTAGTTGTTAGCTTGTGATTTTGACGTGTTGGTGATTGTACCACCATAGCAAATTTCAGCTCAATATGCAAAAAATGTTAAATCGTGTCATCTGCACAAGTTTCTTTTTGGGAGAAACGTTTCGTCTTTCATCCGAAAGACTTCATCAGTCTGCGCTGCGGCCTGCCAACCAGATCAGTCTCCTCGATGTGTTTCAAACCAGCCCCCTGTGGAACTCCCAAGAAACTGCCTTTAACAAATGCAAAAAAGGGATCATCCGTCCCAAACAATCAATCACCTTGCATAACAAATGTTTTAGGTCAGATGGCCAACTTGCTATTCATACAAACAGCCTGAGGACACCTGGCCAAAATGGTTCAGAAAAAAGGTTTGTGAGCTCAATCATCCCGGTAAATAAATACCAAAAAGTTTAAATCATGTCATCTGGACAGAGTCAGACAATATATATATAGGAAAAAACAAGAAGAAAATTGGTCGGACAGTTTATTTCTGAGCCTCCTTAAGAAAACAATTAAGTCCTACAGCAATAACAGAAATACTGTCTGAAATTACACCAACATGCCTACGTGTTGAAATACAACTTGTATAGGTATTAAAGATGTAGGTGTATGAAAAATTTAAGTTAGTTTAAGTTTAGCGTATTTCTTAGTTTACATCTTTGCTCCTAATTACAGTTTCTTTTCTAATTATATTCTTCCTGTTGTTGGATGTAACTGGGACCCTATGTACACAATTTCGTTCCACCTCATGCACCACATGTGATGCGATTCATGCGAATGACAATAAAGAACCTTGAATCCTTGAAGGTGGATTGTAATGTACTTCTCTGCTCTATATTTTTCTTATGGCAGTCCCCAATAACTGAGAAGCTACTTACTGCATCAGCTAAGAGCCAAATGCAGTTTGTTGACAGCAGAAACATAATAACTGGCGTATTTTACCAAGTGGGGGTTTCAGACCTACAGTTACAACAAGGTTGATAGAGTATATTATTTCCAGGGAGTATAATTTACACTGACCTGTTTCGCTCGAGCTGCTCCTTGCCCCCGAGGAGGAGGGGGATTCCGACTGCGACTCATTGATTCTTTTAAACCTGGAAAAACAATTAAAATAAAAGTTATTAACTTAAATGAATCACAATTTGCCCAATAGTATCAGTTTATACGATTAAGTAACCTGAAATAATAGAAATGAATAAGCACTTTTTTTTTATTTTGTGCATTTGATGTAAAAAAATAAACAAATTAAATGACTCTAAATGCCATAAATCAAGTTAGCGTCTCGGCTCCTGTTAGCTACCAGCTAATCTCAGAGGAACTGGATTCCTGAAAGTTGTTTTTGTTTACCTTCACAGCTTCACGGATTGTTTTGTTCGTCGGCTCGGTAAATCAGATCAAAATCCACTCCACAAAAATAAAAAAGCAAAAAGTCTGAACGGGAAATGGGGTTGTTAACCGCTTAGTTTAAGATGTCAAAACAAAAACAGTTAATTACTTCCTGCATTTCGCTTTACGGCTGGACGGATCACGCCCACTGCTGACGTAAAACGTCGGAAATTCTTGCGGACAGGTATTTTAAGATGTAATTTTGTGGAAAAATATTTATCATAAAATGAGTCTGATTGTTTGTAAACTTTTAGTGTAACATTAAAAAGCAAAAATATATTTTTTAATCTCAACTGATAACTTTATTTGACACCAGTTATGTTTACATTTTTTACTGTAAGTTAGCTAACTTAAATTTTTAAGCTAGCTACTCATTTACAAACTTTGCTAAACAATAAACTGACGATCAAAAACACGTATTTTACTTATATCTTGTTGTCGTGTATTTAAGTAAACTTATCTTTTATTATTATTATTATTATTATTATTATTATTATTATTATTATTTTAGCAAAAGAAGATGCCTAAAGGAAATTCAAAGATCAACATCACTGGTAAAAGTTTAAATTATGTCACGTGAGTGTATTGTTATTCTTATGACTATTTGATTATTTATGCTAGACTTTCATGGTAAAACATTTCATCAGCTAAGACATTAATAATTATCTGTGTGGTTAATGTACACCAAATATGTATATGTAATATATCGATGTCCTACTTTTTACGTGTCCTCTTTGTCAAAACTAAGGTTAAATAAAACACTCAAGTGAATCAATTTTTTTTTTAATTTAAAGCAAACTTTTCCTATTAAAACGTGTGAGGTTCTTAAACACCATTTTTAGTTAGAATGACAGATGATTTTTGTTGTGAATATATAAATAAAATGATTTTAATATATTTTGCTCTGTGGGGAAATAAAATTAATGTTTTTGTTTGTCAAGGGTCAGAATTTAATGGCTGAGCAGTCTTAAGTTTATTAAGTGTTAATCAGCTATAATACCTCTTCCCCTCACAGTTTTTGATTAATCTTATTTATTCATATGTTTTGAGACAACGTACCTCCACCCCAGACTCGGTCACGCAGGTCAAGAAAAAAGGAGATGCTGAGTGGTGATGTCCAAACTACCCTCTGTCTAAAGGTAATTCAACTAATCAGTGTATAGCTTATGTTTGTGTCCTATTTTGACAAACTGACAATGTGAGCTTTTCTTTTAATTAGGAAACAGAACATGACACAGGATCAGTTGCCGTGCCGATACAAAACCCTCTGAAGGAATGTGCTGTCATCGTAGAGCAACATCACCAGTCTGCAGAACCCGTCCTCCCAGAACAGGATGATCTCACCAAAGAAAAAGGCACAGAAATGAGGAATGTTAACGATACTAATGTAGCAGTTACAGGACAAGAGGAGATGGATGCCAGCAGTAATTCACAGCTGGACACATGTGGAGTAAATACAGAAACTGTTACCAAGACGAACGGAGAGAACAGGGGGGAAACCGCTTCAGAGCAATGTAACACATCACCAAATCAAAACTGCACTGATCATCTCCAGGTCTCCAAAGATCATGATGAATCCACTGCTTTGGAGAAGCAGATATACGCAAAAGGAAAATCAAATTTGCAGAAAAATCAAGACACCATCCGAGGCAAACCTAGCATTTGCACAAGTGATGTCAAAGAGTCAACAGCTGGCTCACCGGCCAAGAAGAAACGGAGAACGAGTACGCTTGGTCTGACAGAGAAGGATCAGAGTGACTTTTTGCAAACTCGAATGTGTGAAAAGTGGCAGGATGAAATATACAGTGCTGGGAAACACATCTGTGATAAAACAGCCATATCTGTGGCTTTGGAGGAGAACATCCTTTCAGCCTCCTCTTCACCTCAATGCATCTCAGCGGACTTTGTCACAGAACGACGCGAGACCGAGCCAACGAGCAGTAATCGCCAGTCAGTATTATAATTATAAAAATTGGACTTTCTACTGTAAAATGAGTAAATGTGATTTTTCTCTTCCTATAATAATTGTACTTCTTGTAAACAGAGATGGAACTGAAGTCCAGATTGCTGCTGCTACCTCGAATGGGACCAGTATTTTGTCTGAGCCTGGGTTCGCTGAGAGAAAAACTTGTGAGGCTGAAAGTGTTTCACCGCCTGGTCCAGAACCATCAGATAACCCAGAAGAAGAGGCACATTTGGAGGATCAGCAGCTGCAGGAACACAAAGAAACTCCTGGTGAAGAAAAAGCAGAAAAGTCTGAAAAACAGCCAAAAACAGGTGAAGGAAAGTCAGCAGAAGTTAATTTAAGTTCTGCTGGAACAAGTCCTTTAGAGGAGAGTAATAACAAAGATGCAACTGAAGCTGATGAGAACAGGACAGAAGATGAGAAGAAGGGATGGATGACAGATGATGGTGTAGAAAAAGCTGTTTCCTCTGCAGACACCCAGACTGAAGGAGTCAGCTGTGATGTTATAACGCTCTGTCAGACTTCACTGACACCTACTGTCCAAGAGGTGAAATGCAAAGTGAGTGGAAAAACTACAACCTGACTGTGGCAAAATTATTTTGTTTTATTTGCTACTTTTGTATGTTGTTTGCACTATATTAACACAGCGTTTAAAAACAGTGCACTAAAATAGTCCAGTAAGGACTTTTTACATGGGGCCCGGTCAGGCTCAGCCTGATGGAGTTGCATACTAAAGTTACATCCCTTCCTGTGGACCCACCGTCTGCAGGAGGGGCTCAAGAATTTGGTTTGCATTTCCATTCAGATCCCTTCTGGGTGAGATTTAGGCTCTGCCAGGGATACTTGTTGATTCTGTTCACAATGAAATCACAGGTTAAAGGTGGTTAAAATACGTTGCTGGACTCTCCCTTAGAGATAGGGTGAGACGTTCAGTTATCCAGGAGAGACTCAGCAGACTCAGCAGAGCCATTTGAGTTGGTTCAGGCATCTGATAAGGATGTCCACTGGATGCCTCCCTCAGGAGGTTTTCCAGGCGTGTCCAAATGGGAGGAGACCCTGGGAAAGACCCAGGACTTGCTAGAGAGACTATTTCTCTTGGTTGGTCAGAAAATGCCTGGATGGATGGATGGATGGATGGATGGATGGATGGATGGATGGAAGGGTGGATGGGTGGATGGGTGGGTGGATGGATG